ATATGTACGTGGGATCATTACTTTGTTGGATGTGCTGGTGAATGAATTGTAGGTGTTCCTTTCCATTATGAAGAAGTTTTGTTCTAGTTCACCCTTTGGCTTGGCCTTTTCTTTACAAGGAGAAGAAAAAGTACCGAACAGAGGTGCTATTAGTAGATCATGCATGTTGGGCTCCTTGCTCAAAGTTTTTAGGTCCAAGTTTATTGCTTGAATGACAGTTACCTATACAAAAAAAAAATATCATTTTTTAAATATTTCATTTATTTATCGAAATAATAATAAATGATTATTAAAAAAAACATTAAGAAATCTTCCAACCATCATCATAATGGAATCTTCCTTAATTTCTTGGATCATTTCTTCAAAAGTTCTGTCGAAACTCCTTAAAATGCAACTTTACAAATTCTTTATCGTCTACTCTGCTATATGCAACACCTGTATAAACATTTGCACCGCTCACAGTTTTTATACATACAATAGATGTTAAAATCGATGCCATCGTTTAAAAATAGATTTATTGTTGTAGCAGCGTTAAAATCAAAGACGTTTGAAAATAAATATCAAAATTTATTGAAAATTGAAAATAAAAAAAAATAAAAAGATGTTGAATTGTCAGTTATTTTTATTAAAAAATTTATTACCATTATTAATGATTATCACTAATAACAACAATAAACATTTTATCAATTATAATTGTTAACGAATGCACGCGCGCGTATTCATGAACTCGCTCTTTAATACTTTAATAGTAACTTCTCGTTATCGTATAACGTTATCTGTACCAAAGAAAAATTAGGTCGCAAATTTTAGCCATAATTTAAAAGATATTGTTTATCGTTTAAAAAAAAAAAAAATAATATTCTAAATAACTTTAGTTGCGCAGCTGCAGGACACTACGTAATAACAATTGAAAAAACGATTTTCGGATCTTTTTTATTTTTACTCAAGAATTTTTTTAATAATTCCTAGCCTCAAAACAATCAACATATTTTTTTATTCGACTATATAATGAACCATTTTTCGAATAAAGAAAAAATTGGGGGAGCGGAAGTTCATTGCAATATCGTTGCAAATAACAGGCAAGGAAATGGCAAGGCACTTGCAATTACAAAGAACTCTTTTAATAAACAGAATATTTGCCGCACGACTCAAAATTCGCTTTATAAAGTGAAACGTTGATCGCACCAAAAACCCAAACAGAAATTCGCAAAAAGAAATTAATTTGCAAAATCGACAAAAAATTACGGAATTTAGAAAAAGACAGTAGCAACACGGCAAATTTTCTTTTTTTATCTGTGTTAACATTTTTAGACTTACTTTCTCATTGTATGCAAGTAAAATACATTTCATTTAAAAGCTTTACGAACGAACAACAGATATCAATAAAAACCTCAGCATCGAACTATCCAAAAAAATAAAATCAAACCCTCCGATCAGGGATTTAAACGTTTCGGTCGACCGGTAAACCAGATATTAATAATAATATCAGGAGTTTCATATGAAATACGTAACGTCAAGGTTAAATGGATTTTAATTTGGTTCTAAAATTTTATTAATATTATTATTGTCGATCGTAAGAAAACAACAAAATCAATCCGGTGCAACATTCTAAAATGATTATAATTTTATCTATAAAAAGGAATTCGTAATGTGGACATAGTGCAGTTAATATTTTATTTAGCTATGAAAAATATACCAAACTAGTAAAGTCCTCTTGTTTTAGAAATAGTCAATTATTCAACAATCTCTCAATCATTTGTTACAACAATTAACTCTTATGATATTCCTTACTTTTTTAATTAATGTTTATAAAAATGTTTTAATAAATTATAGTGCATAATTCGCATAATCTATCAAGTGTTGCATAATTTAATGTTTGCTGTCGCATAACGAATTAACTATTCAAAGTTTTGATCTAACGGATATATATCGATTTAGCGTATAAATTTCCTGGCAAATATGGTGAAGAAGTTGGGACGAAGTAGAAACAAGACTTTATGATAAGAAATAATTTGGTTTAAACTATTTTCCTCGTTTGATATCAGGAGCTGTGTAAAAATATGAATACACTCTCCCTGTTTTAGTTTCGTCCAAGTGCAGTGAGTTGTGGAAATTTTCCAGCAAATCAGATGTTTCGAATGGTATTAGGAATATTTTTCACAATAAAAGTTGGAAGTTGGATGACCCTAAGCTGATAAAAAAATCAGAAAGGATTCTTGGTGTGCTGTAATATTAATTTCCAAAACTATAAAGTTTCTCAACCATGCGAAAGTTAAAAGGTTTCGCCATGGTTTTGACTTTTGATTTTTGATTTAGTTTAGCATATAACTTTTAATTTTAGTTTTGACTTTCGCCTCTTCAAAATGGTTTTGGCGACCGACACTGTAATTAATTTCACGGAGAACTTTTATTCATAAAATATCACAGGACAATTTTTGAAACTAGTGATGAGATATGGAATAATCTGGCATTCGCAACCGGTATGTCTCGAGCTGAACAGAGTAAGGGGTCATATGTTACGGATGTTGTGGTTTCTTTACTTTGTGTGAGCCTGAAACATCCTGCCTGAGCATGTAATTAAATGACTAGCAAATACTGTATAAAAAAAAGAGGCATTTTCCATTGCATCTTTTTGTCAAATTATAGAGCAGAATGGCAAGAAGGATGCATCGCGAATAGAACCAGATGTTATGGTGTTGTTAAAGCATGGATAGTAATTATTGAACTGGCATATGTTGAATATTCACGTACTACTTGTACTAAATCAAAAAAAAAAAGGATAATGCCCTATAAAAAATTCAAGCAGAAAAATATACTGGTACGGAAAATTACATTTTCTCGGTAAAATTCCGTGCATTTTCCCAGTACATTTTTCTATATTTTTCTGTTTGAATTTTTTATAGGGATGATGTGGAGTTGTAAAGAGAGATGTTGATAGGGCGAGTTTTGTACATGCATCTCCAGTAACCAATTTGGATTGTAGAAATTTAGGTTGCTGGTGAGGTTGTGTATTTTGAATGTTCTAAATGAAAATCATTAATGATGATAGAAATAATAATAATCAGAGGAAAATTTTTTTCATCACTGCTGTCCGTTAACACTTTTGTCGATAGATGACCTGAATAAAGTTACTGCTCCGCGAAGCCATTATTACCAACACCAATTAACAAATATATTAATTAACAACTTGTACTTAGGTAAAATTCTTTGTTTTTTATTATTACTTGTAATATTTACAGATGACAAAATACAAGAATAATAAGCATATATAAAAATATTAATAAATAAATAATAGGCATGATGATAAGATCACTCCAATTGAGTTAAACTACAAGGATGGCTTAACAAAATATACCATGTTGTAATATTCGATTAATATCTATATAAATAAAGCAAATGATTACAATAATGAGTATTTATTCACCATATAACAATACTTTTTTATAATATTAAAAAGACAAATGTGAAAATTTTCATTCGTCTACTAAATCCATTTAATTAGAGTCTATTAATAAAATAATATTAATGTTGATATTGATATTACTATTTAGATTCTCATTTGATTAAAACCTATAAATGTAATAAAATACTATTAATATTAAATATTGGCATTGAATTTTAAAGTTAATAATCAATAATATTACAATCTGATTCAATATGTTTGTTTGGTGGCTCACTTTTTTAAACTCATTAAAAGGACTTTTTAAAAGAGTATTGAATTTTAACATCCCTAGTTCCTATTATTATTGATGAAGAAACAAATTCTAATATTTCGTCAGAGTCCATTGCCATGTAGACTACCAATAAACAAAACTTTGAGAAACATCAAAGATCTAGAGAAAACTATACATCTGTTCCTTCAGAATGGTTATTGAGTGATGTTACATAAATTAAAACCTGATAGAGCAGAAAAGTCATTGCTTTTAAAAAATTATAATATTTTCGAATTATGATATTACTATTAATATTAAGTATTGCGGATATTCGAAAGTGTTATTATTATTATTATTATTATTATTATTATTATTATTATTAATATTAATATTAATATTCGAATAATAGAATTCAAATTTCGAAAATTCAAATAATAATAAGGGTAGATGAAAATTGCTGTTTAAGATAAGCCTTTTTTAGTTTAGTATAATAAAATTTTTATATTTTTTATAACAAAACAGATTAGAAATTATAAAATAAATTTACCCTCGATCATAATATTGTAAAATGATTTGATTTCCTGGCAACTATTAAATTTATTTAAAATTAAATCCTACATAAATTATCTTCTACAATGTAATATTATTAAAATGGATTGTTGAGTCCTATTCCTTTTTATATTTTACTATGTTCACGAGGAATTTGGGCGGAAGTCATGATCCTTTTTTGGTCAGTTAATGTTTTTTATTTTACTAGTATTCATTCCAATAAATAGTCTTTGGGTATTAATAAATTTGTGTGACATCGTGGATAAAATTTAACATTTTTGAAATTTAGCCACAAGGCGCGGTAAATGGCGGTTTAAGAGGTCCCGCACCATAGATTATTATCAAAAAAAAAAACATTTTATAAATATGTAAATTCCCGATTGGCAAAAAAAAAATTTTTTTCGGAGTTTAAATCTGTAGTAATTAATGGCTTGCAGGGATCGTCACAAAAAAAATTTTCTCGGCCGAATATGTAAAGAAAAAGAAGTGTTCAATTTATCATTATATAATAATAAAAAAAAAATTTCGACAAAAAAAGCTTGCTGCGTCGAAGACCTTTTCGTATGGTCAAAATGAATTAATATAACCCTCGTTTCAACAGAATGGCTAGACATATAAGAAAATTTCATTTAAAACCAGTTGAATGCGAATTTAATTATAATCCGTTGAAATAAGGGTTATACTGTACTAAGTTGTAAATATTTCATCGTTCTCATATATAGAGAGCAGTTTTTATTTTTAAAATCTATATTACAAACATCTATTGCATATTAAATTAATTACAAATGAATTTATTTTTTAAAATTTAAATCGTTCTCGCCAACTTCTTCCTTTAATGTAAACCAACACTAATATTAAAATACCGGCAAAACACATTCCACCTAAGAGAGTAAACGTCCATCCAGTTCCCAATTTATTTTCCATTGGAGATGCTAAAATCGATAAAGTGCCAGCTGCCATCATGCGTATACAATTGCTTAATGCTATTATTGATGCACTTTGACTTGAGAAAACGTCAACCAAATAGGTTGACATTGAATTATAAATTACTTGAGTGGTTAATGACACTATATATAATACATATAATACGTATGTGATTCGTAATTATAATCTCTAACATAAAATAAATAACACAAGTATATAAAATATACATATAAAACATACTAAAAAACCAAGCAATCGATGGACCAGCCATATGTACTTCTTTTTCAACCAACCAACCATAAATCAAACAACAAGTTGGTAATAATACAGCACTAATCCAAACACTATGAATTCTCGCTTCTGGATGAGCAGTCCCATTTTTCTTGTTTGCTCGTCTCATCACAATATCTGAAGATTTACCACCAATATAACTGCCAATCATGAATCCAAAACCAGATACAAAGAATAATGAACCGATTTGTGATGAAGTTAGATGATATCTGGTGGCGAAGTTGACAGGTACACTAATAAATTGAAGTTGAGTTATTGATGACATAATGCAAATGTAAATGATCATCAAAGTTCCGCTTGGATGACGTAACAATTTAAGCGGTGCAAGTGGATTAAATCGATATCTTGATTGAGCATTCTCACTAGAATCGTCAGGTGTGGGTTTTGGAAGATTGGATGTTTCAGGGACAAAGATTATCACAAGTAATAAATTTACTCCGCCCAAAATTGTTAAAAACCAAAAAATCCATCTCCAACTAGTATACTCAGCAAAGTAGCTTCCCATCATAGGACCAAGTAATTGACCGGTCCAATAAGCCATATAAAAAAATCCATATGCAGTTCCGCGTTCTTTTAATTTTTGAGGTGGGGGTAGGAAAGGATTATATATAAATACATATGTATTTTATGTTTTATCAAAAAAAATATCAATAAATGTAATGACCATGTTACCGAGAGCATTGTAAACATCACTAATAACACCAGCTCCTATTGATAACATAGCAGAAGAGCCAAATGATTGTAAACCACGGCCTAGCAATAATAACCAGAGATTTGATGGAACAATAGCACACATTATACTTGACAGAATAAATATAAATATAGTTATGAAATAGACTCTTATTCTCAGAATATGCAGCCCATCCAAGTGGCTAATTAATAATGATTAGAACGAATTAGAATAATTAAAATGCAAATTAATAATAATGATTATGATTATGATGATAATTACTTACCGCAATTCCCATAACATACACATAAACTGAAGCTAATTTTATTTATAATAATAATTATTTAGATTAATTGGCATATATATATATATATATATATATATTACAAAATTTCATGTAATTCGGAATTTTCGTTACCTAATGCGTTAACTTCAATATCAGACACATTAAATTCTGTACGCAATTTTAATAATATAGGATACAAAATACTTTTTTCGTAAAAAAATAAAATTTGTTTTAATAAAAAAAAAATTAAATCTAATCAATCACACGTATAAATAAATTAATACTAACGAACTAGATATTGGAGAAGTCATTGCAGCAAAAGAAATCACAAATAGCATAATACGTTTTCTCGTTATTGACCAATTTGTAAGATCATTGTTTATATCGTGATTATTTATTATAATCGATAATGATTTATTATCATTTTCTATATCGATATTAATAATAATGTTGTCTTCATTATTCATCTTTACGAAGTAATGATTTATTCTAGAAAAAAAACCAATATTTTACTGCCATAATATATATATATAAATTTGGAGATCTGCGTGTGTGAAATTGAATGCGGGGCGCGTGTGTTAAATTAAAGGTAGCCAATAATCTATTAGCAGGATTTGCAAACAAATTGAAAAAAAATTATTAATATTTGTATTTTTTTAATTGAACTTTGGCACTTATGTATAGATTGCTTTTGATTTTAACCATTTGAAGAATAATGCATGACCTATATAGGAAAAATTTTAAATTTTATTTTTGTAGATTTCCCGTTAATTAACGAAAAATTTCCTTTTGGAGAAAATCCCCATTGATTAAATGATTCTTTTTTTTTTATAATTAAGAAAAAAGAAGCTTAGTTGTTTTTTTTCTAACAATTAAAACTTTGTAAATAATATTGTACGAAACCTTTTGAAAACTTTTATTACTTACAAAACTAACGATATTAATATAAATGCGTGTTGATGATGTTGTGTATGCTCACTATCGACATTTGTCATCAACACAATACGGGAAGGTTCGTGATGGAGGACATGTGTGCGTGTTATTAATAAACAATTGATTTGTGTGATTAATTGATGTGTTAATGAATAAAAAATTATCAGTGCGTGTGTGGCGTTGTTGGTTCTATTAAGATGTTAGAAATTTCGTGATAATAAATAGCTCAGTCTCATCCAAATCCCAATAATAGAAAAGGTCACACTGCCAACCAATTGAAATGAAGTAATCAAAATCGATTATAAACAATTTTCAATGATTATCTACATGAGTGTGTGCCTAAAAGTAAACAACCGCTATTCAAACCGTTTGCGTTCTTGACTTTTCTTTTGTCTTTGTTCTTTTTGTTTGTCGTCATTCAATTGTTTTTATTTTTCATTTTATTTTTCATTTTTTTATTGATAAAAATAAATAATTTCTAAAATTTATCCATCTGATCTGTTCATTCATAGGGGTCGTACCCATCAAGAATAATTAAAATATTTTTTTATCATTAAATTTTAATTATTCAATGAATATTTAATGAATGTTCATTGTTAACGAAAATTTTAAATTTTTTAGTTTCTTTTCAAAAAAAACAATAAAAGTGGATTGAGTTTTGTTTTGTTTTGTTTTGTTTGAGGTTCACTTTGAGTGGACGTCGCAGGTGTACACAAATATTTAGTAGCTAAATTTGACAAAATAGGAACCCTACAAGAAGAAGATTCATCCCTCTCATTACTTTCTCTATTATAAGTATTGAATGCTCTTCTTCCATTTTAAATGAATAGAAGTGAAATAATTGATTTGAAGAACAAACAGAGATAACTTATTTGGACATGAGAAAAGTTCAGTTGGTAGAGATCTACAACCAAATTGAAGCTTTGAAAAAATACAGTACATTATATATAATAGTATTATTACAATCATATAATGTTTTAATTTTAGTACTGTATAAATAAAAAATTTTTTTAGCTGGTTGGAGAACCATAAACCATAACTAATTAATTAAATATATACACACTCAAGAATCATTGAATAAAATGTAGATCAATTAAAAAACCTGTCTTCATTATACATGCCAAATTGGTTTGGTGAATTCAATGGTCAAAACTATGCCAATTTAAATTGTGTAAACCCTTTGTGGTGAACTGATTTTTTGGGGAAGAATGAGAGCAAAATTGAAATACAAAACATTGTGGTGAACAAATTTTTTTTTTGTGTTGACACAATTCGTCAAAATGATCATCATCAAAAACTTTGATTGTTGGCAATTAAAAAACCATTAATTTTGTTCTTTTCTGCTTATTAATCGTGTCACATATTTACGAAAACCGGTTTACGTCGTGTGACTGTACAAAAAGCACGTTAATGTTTAAATATGTATTAACTAGAGATGGGTAGATCAGTACTAGTACTAAACGTATAATACTATACGTATAGTGAAATGTATAGTGCGTATAGTTCTAGAAAAATATAGTAGTAAATGTAAATTAATTCCTGTTTAGGTTATTGCCAAATAATAGATGTGATGTTACACATAAAAATTAATTAATACTCTTCTCACGATAAATATATTTTAAACTTGCCTGCAATTTGGCAACATTTTAATATTAACGTTCTAGTTCAATATCTAGGTGTGAAAAACATTTACGTCTTTGTCCAAATGCCACAATTCAAATTAAAAGAAATTATTTTGGAGAACATTTTAATAC